AAAAAAACTGTAGATGACGTCTAAATGTTTTATAAACGATGAGTTTAGATTTTGTATAAGATGTGATATTTTGTGGGATTTGTCTACACTGTTATACAACGAGAAATTGAATGTACTGTGACCGCCATAGGCATAAAACTGATTGAATAATTGCTCAATTAATGAATCAATAAACTGCCGAAATTGTGGAGAAAACTGGTTCCAGTCTTTTTGTGTACGTTTACCATAATGCTGCTCTTGGGGGACACGATGCCAAGGAGAAGAAGTAGTAACTCAGATGAACACAAGGTGGTGCTACTGGACAACTACAGGCTGTTTTTTGCTGGATGAATGAAGAGAATATAAGGACAGTGACAGCTCCAGTAATTTCAGTTGACAACAATTAAACTCAGTTGTTGTTATTAGTTAAGGTAAATGATTGGAGGACCAGAGAACTGACTGTGACAGATAAACATGTTAGAGTGTCAGTGTCACAGGCATAATGAGTTTGCAGACCTGTAAACTGCAGCAGGAATTCAAAGAGTTGATTTAAAAGAAACAAAGACCTGACAGATGTTGTGCAGAGACGCAGGATGTGGCCACAATCCAAGTCATCACAGAGTGTCAGTGAAACATAGAAGTCACATGACGCTCTGGATATGTTTGCAGCTTCTGTAACTGGCACAGATGGTGGCAGCAGTGAGACGCATGCAGAAGTGTGCAGACATAAAGTAATTCCTTGATTCTCACTTTTATCCTACAGCCAGACGATGATCTGAAAACACCCACCAACCACAGTTTTTATCCCAGTATAAAACAGGAAGTGTTAGAATGGTTAAATCAGTCAGGGGTGTTGTAACAACAATAAAGAAACGCCCTGAGAAGAAAGCTTTTCTGAAGCAGATGTTTAGTTCTGTCAGTAGTCACAGATTTAATGGCATCATTGTATCGACAGCTTGTGCGATAGAGGTGTTCCGCTTTTGTTTGCCATGAGATTCATCTGTTAGCAGAGTCAAGATCATCATTACTGTTTGTATGAAATAATACAATTTATATGCATTTACATGTATTGAGTTATGAAGATCTCTGCTCCTTTTTATCCTCCATGCAGTACAAACCAGTCCTGCAATTCAAGTCAACTGTATCTATAAATCACCAATTCACACCAACAGAGACATTATATTGTAAGGTGAAACCCTAAAATGATAGAGATAATCAGATAACTCCCTATGAGCAATTACTTGGCAACAGTGGGAAGGAAAAACTCTCTTTTAGCAGGAAGAAGCGTCTGCCTGAGGCTTCTTCCTGCTCAGCGAGGGGAAAGCAGAGAGTGACTGAAGAGAGCGGAGAGAATGAACGTGTTTCTTAATGTATTGTAGAAACATCCGATTGTGCCCTGTATGCCATGGAAAGCATCATAAATGAGCTATTATTTAAGGAGTTTAACAGTTCACCTTTCAGCGTCCACAAGGTCAGTGGCAACCCATGAAGAATCAGCGTTAGGGTTTAGGGGAGGTTAATATCCCCTCTTTTTACAAAATCTTCACCCGTTTGAAAAACGGTAAACCTTCAAGGCCAAAAGGAACGTATGATGCTTCATTTGAAAGATACATCTTTTATAGTTACACCCTCCCACTCACAAACCCTAAAGCTAACCCTGAACATGTCACTGCTGGTGACTTGGTCGTCAGAAGGCTGCGCATGTCTCTCAGTAAAGGAAACAATGCATTTCCACCAGAAACTGAGGGAACTGTTTCACCCTGGGGACCTATGGCTCAGATTTTTTGTTGGAAGAAATATGAGTGTAAGAAGTCCACATATAATAATAAATTAAAAAAATATTATGATTATATTTCACCAATTACTGTTCTTCTTCAGATTTTCCAAAGTCATCCAGCGGACTGTTTGACACCACAGCACTAGAGAAAGCTCTAGCTTAACCTTTTAAGTCATATTTGACATTATGTAGTCTGTGTAGGATTACAGAAGAGAAGGAAGATACAACTAAACAGTTGAGTCAAGTTCCCAAGATATTGGACAACTCTGAATATTGATCATACATTGGATATCCGTATCTGTGTTGTAGAGTCGAGAACACGCCGCAGCAGCTGTAACTTACTCTAAAAGAGCTCACAGGTGTCACCGCCCATTTTCACACTGAGGAAGGTTCCTGCTGAAGTTCAACACTGACTCTGACATAGTTTTCCTGACAGTAAAAAAGCATCTGGGCTCAAATGGACAGAGGTGGGACCAAGTCATTGTTTTGCAAGTCACAAGTCAAGTCTCAAGTAATGTCAGGCAAGTCAGAGTCGAGTCTCAAGTCACTGGTGTAAAAGTCCGAGTAAAGTCACAAGGCTGCGGAACTCTCTGCCCCCAGAAATAAGAAACATTGGTTCTCTCCCACAGTTTAAATCCCAACTCAAAACTTATCTGTTCAAATCTGCATATTCACTGTGAATCCACTGTTTGTTAATTTTATTTTGTGCTTTTATTTTATTGTTCTTATTCTGCCATTGTTTTACTAACTGTTTTATCCTATTGTAAAGTGTCCTTGGGTGACTTGAAAGGCGCTCATAAATAAAATTTATTATTATTAAGTCTGAAACTTTGAATTTCAAGTCCTTTCGAGTCTTTATCCATCCATTCGCTTCCGCTTCTCCTTTTCAGGGTCGCGGGGGGCGCTGGAGCCTATCCCAGCTGTCATAGGGCGAGAGGCGGGGTACACCCTGGACAGGTCGCCAGTCTGTCGCAGGGCCAACACACAGAGACAGACAACCATTCGCACTCACATTCACTCGCACATTCACACCTAGTGACAATTTGGATTATCCAATTAACCTATCCCCACAAGCATGTGGGGATAGGTTTGGACGGTGGGAGGAAGCCGGAGTACCCGGAGGGAACCCACGCAAACACGGGGAGAACATGCAAACTCCACACAGAAAGACCCCGGCCTGATGTTGGAATTGAACTCAGGACCTTCTTGCTGTGCGGCAACAGTGCTAACCACCGTGCTGCCGTCTTAGAAAATATACACAAATTGTGAAATTGCACCTCTATAAAATGCAGCTCAATTAAACTTAGCTCCAAGAATAATTTTCACCAACAGTTCTGAGATAAGCTGCATGTTATTCTTGGATGCGCTTGTTGGACCAGCTTTAAAATAGCATGACAAAAATATCATACACATTAAAACCAAACAGTATCATCAACGTAGCCTGGACAACATTTGCTAGTTACATGAAGTCAGCTATCTCATCATAGCAAAAGAGAACCTACTGTTCTTTATGCAACTTCAACTGTCGGAGAAAGTTGAAGTTTTTTGAGCGTTTTTTTTTTCTTCTTAAAAAAATCGGGTTAATTTGATTGGCTGTGCTACAGCTCACGCTCACATACCTATGGAGTGTGGTTTGAATAAATGAATGAATGAATTGAATTAATGGTGCACACTTTCTATATAATATGCGTGTTAAATTTTAGATTTGGGGTGAAATATCAAGTCTTTTCAAGTAAACCGGTTCAAGTCCAATTCAAGTCCCAGGTCATTGGTGTAAAAGTCCAAGTCAAGTCACAATCTTAGAACATTTTTTCAAGTCAAGTCTAAAGTCATAAAATTAATTCCAAGTCATGTGACTCGAGTCCACACCTCTGCAAATGGATTAACTATGATTTGTTTCTTCTTCCAGTTCTATACGCCATTTAATGTCATCATCTGCATTATGTGTGGTTTGTTTTTGAAGAATGCTTTAAATCCTACAGGCATGCCTGCACAGCCTCCTGTAACGATAGTCACATGAGAATTCCGTCCACCCTTCAGGAAGGACCACAACAACTTTTAGACGTTTGTGACCTCACAGAAAACGGATCTCGGATGAGACAAAACGGATCAGATCGGTCAATATCACGAGGGCGGTGCTTTCGACAGCCAATCAACGTGATTTCCACTACAAGCTGGCACAGCAGTGGAGGACGCCCCGGCTGAGTGCCCGCACTCTGTTTACTTTGTGTGTTCAGCTCAGTGTGGAGGAGCCGGCTCTGTAGATATGAGCAGCTGGCAGCTGTGAGGCCTCTCAGGACTTCCGTCTGCTCAGACGTGTTAACGATGCTGCTGCTGGACGAGCGGATCTGGTTGCTGTTTAAGCGCCACTGGCCACAGACTCTCACCTACTGGAGCGTGTTCTTCAGCTTCGGCCTGTGCATCGCCTTCCTGGGACCCACTATCCTGGACCTGAGGTGTCAGACCCAGTCGACCCTGCAGCAGATCACCTGGGTGTTTGTCTCTCAGCAGTTCTTTGTGCTGGTGGGCAGCAGCGTGGGAGGACTGTTTAAGAAAACGTGAGTCTGGTTAGTGAACACCGAGTGTTTTCATGAGGTCTAGCTTCACATGTAAAACACCTCACCGCTCACTGTTTCATCCAGTGCGTCCTCTGCCATCAATGCTTTGACTTGTGTTTGTTATCAGAGCTCAGCTGTGAAAGCTGACGGTGAATCCTCTCTCACTCTGTATGTGTGATGGGTTAGACACAAGCCCACTGGGACGGTTTCTAACAGGGTCCATGTGAACCCAAGGAGTGTGTAGGATAACATAGTTTACATGTCAGTGATGAACTTTCTAATAAACAAAGGATCATATACTTCACCTTTACAGGTCCCAGCTGTGCGGCAAAGGGAGTTACTATGAACTGTTTTCAATCTATGCGCAGTTCCACACATTTCCTAAAAGAACCTGGTTTGTACTAAAAGCATGATATGAATAAACTGCTGGCTGCAAAGCTGAAGTGGTCAGTGGTTATAGGAGAGGCTACTCTCTCAGGTGGGTCTGTTATCAGGGTTTCTGTGAGTGCACTACAAGCACAACTGCCTGCAGGAACCTTTCTAGATACTAAAACCACAATTGTTAAACTAGTTAATATGTCTTATTAGCCTTCTGTTACATGTTGAAAATACTGTGGGGGTGGCGTGGCATGTTTGGATCTTTAGCTTAAGTTTTAGGGAGCAGCTGCATGAAAGCAGCTAAAAAAAGTTAAAAGTTTTTAAATAAGGAAAAGAGGACGAGTTTTACCTGTTACGTTTAAGTCAGTTATGTCACTTATGTCCTCTAATTCACCTGCGTCTTCTAATTACAGGACTTAGCTGCAGTGATATCAGCGTTCTTGCTCTGGCAGAATAACTGGTTCTCACATTTGAGCAGGACAGTGGTTTAGAGTTTCACAGAGTACAGCCATATACAGTAACTAACCCTGTGGGTAACAAAGACATGCCTTTGCTGATATCTCTGCTAACTTTAAAGCTTGCTTTTTGTCCCTAAAACAGAATAAAGTTACATTCAAACGAGAGTTCAGGTTTATGAATGCACAAATAAAATAACTGAGCAGATGAGGCGACATTTGTTGTGATTTGGCGCTATATAAATAAAATTGAATTGAATTGAATTGAATGAATTATTACACCAAATGGGATTTTTTTTTCTTTTTTTCTTTTTAGTGACTGAAGTTGAGAGTTTGCAAAATATTGTGGACTTGATGGACGGCTCAGTATGAAATGTTTTGTTCCTGATTAACAATAGTGTTGAAATAATTTTCTGACTGCAGCTAGACTTTCACCTGTGACAGTTGGACTGAATGTTGTATTTGACTGGCACATCTATGCCATGCAAATGACAGAGTTTTGGTTCACATCTCTGTTTGAAATTTCCAGCCACTGAGCAGGAACGACAGATTGTGTGAAATGGAAATCTACATGTGTTGGGACACAATGGACATACAGTATAATGCCAAACGCATTCACTCGTCTGTGACGTCCCATTCTTAATCCATAGAGCTTAATGTGATGTCAGCCGCTGTTTGCAGCTATAACAGCTTCACCAAGGTTTAGTTTTTATGGGAATTTCTGACCATTTTTCCAGAATCACTCTTGTGGGGCCAGACACTGATTCTCTAACTCATCTCAAACGTGTTCTGTCAGGTTGATTTGAGGACTCTGTGCAAGTTCTTCCACATCAAACTAACTCGTCCGTGTCTTTATGGACCTTGCTTTGTGCAGTGGTGCACAGTCATGTTTGAACAGGAAGGAGCCATCTCCAAACTGTTCCCACAAACTGTCTTGCTCAAAATGTCTTGGTGTGCTGAAGCATTAGGAGTTCCTTTCATTGAATGTTGGGTTTTTTGGTTAATGGGAAAAAGCCTTTGGAACCTTGGGACGTTCCCATGGAAGCCCAGTCTCTTTCTTATTGTTAAACCATCAAAACTGACCTTAACTGAGACAAGTGAGACTTTTGAGACATCCTGGATGAGTTGTTCTTGATGTTTCTTTGTGCAGTGATATGTCGCTTTTAGAGATCTTTCAGCTTACTTCACTTAATACATACATTTTCTACTTCAGTGATACTTCAGTGAGCAGGTCTGGCAGTACTCAGGATTGTGTGGCTGTTGAACCAGAGATTAGCTTTCCAAAAAATGCAGTTAATCAGTTAATTTATGATTGAATAAGGAGGGAACTATTAATATAAAATAATATTTAATAAACTAAATCATCATTTTAAAAAGTAATTTTCTATTTACTTGGGTTATTTTTAAAATAATTAAATTTGCTTCGTGATATGAAACATGTGAGGAAAAAGAGGAAAAACAGAAACTAGGAAGTGGGTAAATACTTTTTCGCAGCACAGTTTCAGCCTGGTACCTATCATATCAAATTCTCTAAATACTGAGGAAAGATGCTTTTTTTCTTCGCTCCTTTACCAAAGACACACCGGACCATCCATTACAAACAGAGAGGACATAATGCTGCCGCATTCATACAAACAAACAACATAATTAATAAGTGACTTTGGTCATTATGTACATTGCTGTGTTCTCCCCTGTTACTGTTACTTGCCAATATGCTGTTAGGTGTTGAACTTTCATCAGTTTGAAGTGTTTGAAGTGCATAGTTCACTTATAGATTTAACAAACTTGAAGCACTTTACAAAAGCTTTCGTGCTATAGTTAATGACCTACAGTACTGTGTGTTTAAATAATCCACAAGAATTTTGGCACATTGCAATAAGCAGTTGGAAAAATAGGCACGCATAAGGTCAAATTGTTATGGCTAAATGACTGGGTCAGAGCATCTCCAAAACTGTAGCTCTTGTGGGGTTTTCCCAATCTCTATGAAAGGGAGTCCAAGGAAGGAACAGTGGTGAACCAGAGACTGAGTCATGGTTAGCCAAGTCTCAGTGATGCATGTCAGTGGCTGGCCTATGTGGTCAGATACAAGAGAAGAGCTGACCCCTATCCACTGCCGAATGCTTACATAACCCTAACCCAGGCACCAGGATGCACTGTAGAAAGAAGTCAAGCCGCTAGAAAGGTAATGTCAATGTTCTGCTGGGAAACCTTGGGTCCTGCCATCCATGTGGATTTTACTTGTACATGTACCACCTAGCTAAGCATTGTCGAGGACCACGCCCACCATGTTTCATGGGTGTATTCATGGGGTTTTCCTGATGGCTGTGGCCTCTTTCAGGAGAATAATGCACCCTGCCACAAAGAAAAAATGGTTCAGGACTTTGAAGTGTTCAGCTGTGATCCAGCTTCAGCTTCTGAGAACGGGCCTGTTTGGCATGTGGCTAAAGCAAAGTCAGGTGGCTGTTAAGAGGTTAAACAGCCAACCGTGTTTCTTGGACATTTGTTTTTTTTTTAACCAGTATCTTTTAGTGCACCTACACTGTTTTTTCATTATCACTGTTGAGAAAGCTCCTTTATCTTTATTGTGTTTGCTGCTCACCTTGCACACCTGCGTAGCTGAATTCATTTCCCAAAAGCTAATCCTGGATGTGTTTGTGTGCACTTTGGAAGCCTTAAACAGTACATTTATATAATTTAAAGTGGAAGCCTTTACAAACTCAGCAGGTGTGATTCATTATTTTTGCTGCTCTGGTGGTTTTTGTGAATGTCCCTGTAGCTAACAGGATTATCTGAGAAGAAGGGGAATGTAAGGTGAAGATAAGATGTAGGTTTACTGAAGCTGTGTG